TATATAGTATGTAGATAGTAATGTGCAATTTTCAACAATAATGAATCCATATGATGGTCTGAGTTTGATTAATCTCTATATTCCATTTTTTAAAAATGTCTGTGAATGCTTTGAAAATATGATAGATCAGGGGTCCCCAACCCCCGGTCCATGGACTGGTACCAGGCCGTGGCATACCAGCAACCGGTCCGCACAAATAAGCAAAGCCCCATCTATGGGATGCAGGCAGCACACAAAACCATGCACTCTCTGGTCCACGGAAAAACCTTTCTCTATGGAACTGGTCCCTGGTGCCCAAAAGGTTGGGGACCTCTGTGATAGATGATGGTTTCCACTTTTAAGGTAGTAACGTAGATTTTCTTATCTTTTTTAAAAAAGATAGCACTGAAGTGTTTATCAATTGAATGTCTAGAACAATTTAAACACATACCTTTCTTGGAAAGAACCCAAATAAAATTAATAGAATTGTTTATACAGTAAGTAGTCATAGATAGGATTGTATTATGTTTTTATGTAAATGAGGTTATAATTAGCTTTAAATCTGTTTGAGTGCTTTGAATGGATTTCATGTACAATAAATGAGAATTGAGTGAAGTAAAGCAAAGTCAGCAGTAGTTTAATATTAAGATTGCACCCATCACAATTATTAGCAGAAAGGCTTTTTACATGATTTCTACAGGGAGTAACCCTTTGTCTTAGGTTCACCTCTGCTTATCAGGTTGTAGTTTTTTTTATTCTGTCCTTGGATATTTTCAGTAGAGCAGGCTACTCTGTGAATGAAGTTACAGTGAAAACAGTGAAAGAGACATGAATCAGTGGTGGGATTCAAATATGTGACAACTGTTTCTCTCTGTGGCTGCTGCTTCCGGAAGTCCTTTCTGGGCCTGGGCAACAAAAAATTAGCTACCGGTTCTGCTGAACTGGTGTGAACTGGCTGAATCTCACCACTGTTACCCATCTATAATGAGTAGCTGTGTCAGAGTACCTCAAAGCTTAATTTTCCTGAAGTTGCATCATCTCTGGAGATTTTGTTGTTGTTAATTGCGAAGTCATGTCTGACCCATTGCGATCCCATGGACAACGTTCCTCCAGATCTTCCTATCCTCTACCATCTTCTGGAGTCCATTTAAGCTCATGCCTACTGCTTCAGTGACTCCATCCAGCCACCTCATTCTCTGTCATCCCCTTCTTCTATTGCCCTCAATCTTTCCCAGCATTAGGCTCTTCTCCAGTGAGTCTTTCTTTCTCATTAGGTGGCCAAAGTATTTGAGTTTCAACTTCAGGATCTGGTCTTCTAAAAAGCAGTTGGGGTTGATCTCTTCTAGGACTGACCGGTTTGAATGCCTTGCAGTCCAAGGGACTCGCAGGAGTCTTCTCCAGGACCATAGTTCAAAGTCTCTGGAGATAGGATTGTGGAAATCAAGAATCCCTCAAAGCAAATGTAGATGCAAAAAAAGTCTGGATAAAAAATATTCCAAATGGAGAATTTGTTCTACAATTACATTGCTTTATTCATACACGTTTACAAGGGGTTCAGAAGATTCCTTTATAGCTTTCCTGTCTTAACCTACCACTTCTTCGATCATTTTTTTTCCAGAAGTAAAACAGAATAATTCATTCAACATTTTGATTAGTGATCTCTCTGTTTGGGAATTCCACAGACAAGAAATTACTGGGTAATGAACAGAAGAATAGAATCTATGGGCACAACCAGACATGGCTTCAAATTCATACAGTAATCAGTTGACACTTGCAGTTGACCCTACATTATAAGGTGAGGTCTCAGCTTCAAGGGCAAGGTTTTGTGCAAGCAGATCTGGTTTAATAGAAAGTGACCAAGGCCACTATTGACTGATTAGTGGAGAGTTCAGATTGCTTCCCATGTGGCTCTGAAACCACCTTTAATAATGCTATATTGCTCTGTTCTCTCCTTATAGGTAATGAATGAACCAGGAGAACTCCAATTTATTTTATGTGAGGTGTCCTTGACATTTGAAAAGGAAGTAATAGAAGAATATTTTGTTAAAAGAGGCACTTGGGGACTTTTTGCTTTCTGCTTTCATTTTTATAAAATTCTTGAGAGAAAATAATTTTAGAGCATTCTATTCCCACCTCCTCTCTTTCTTTGCTGATACATCTATTGACACAGTCAGTTTACATATGCTATTCACAGAGCACATCATCTTTTTTACTTTAGAAAGCTAAAAGCAATAACAGTACCCAGAAATGTGATGGCAGGAACAGAAAAAAATAGCTGGGCCTGAGGGACAAGTTAGAAGAGCTTCCAGACAAATGGTTCCTATAGCTACCAGTCAAAGGATGTGCAGCAATTCTGTTTTCTCCTTATAGAAATAAAACAATAAAAAAACATGTTAGAGAAATGCAGAATTGATTCCAATGGAAGACAGAGTTCTCTGAGTGTATATCTTATATAATTTAATGAACAATGCAGGATGATTGCATAATAAAAGTAGCGACTGGAAACATTTTAATTGTTATTTTTATAATGAAATTCAGGATTTCATAGCTATTCTTGGTCAACAAATAGCTTGCTATTGCAAAGATAGACAAGTTTACTATTTCTCCTATATGTCAACTGCTTTTGGAACAACAGAAAATTGTTGTATATAACTTTATAATAATTATAATTACAAGTGCATTATATACTGCAGTTAGAGTGCAGTACAGCAGGCCACTTTAGCTGACTGTGTTCAGCAGGTCAGCGGTTCAAATCTCACCGGCTCCAGGTTGACTCAGCCTTCCATCCTTCCGGGGTAGGTAAAATGAGGACCCAGATTGTTGGGGGCAATGTAAATATATATATATATATATATACATTGCTTACTGGTGTACACCGCTTAGAGAGTGCTTGCACTTAAAGCGGTATATAAGTCTCATAAATAAACAAACAAACAAACAAACAAACAAACAAATAAGTAATACATAAGTACTGTATGTAATAGGTTAGTACAATTGGAATGTTAATGTACTTCCAAAAACTAGTGAAAAAATACTTTTTAAAAAACAAGGACGCATAAAGCATCTTTTTCTATTATATAAACAATCCCGCAGATATTATTACACACCATTTAGTAAAAGCTATATAACATATGGATAATCTAGTGGCACTTTAAGTACTATATACTTCAAAGATGGTTTTGGCAAAAAATTCTTTATTAAAGAATCTTAATATTTAATATAATATTACACAATACAATACAATATGATAATATTTAATATAATTCTTATTAAAGAATTATAATATTTGCTTGCTAGAAAGTCAGCTTTACTGAACTCAGAGGAATTTTCTTTTGGATAAACAAGTTAAGAATTACTCGTTCTTAAACATCAGTTGATTAAGCAGTTTCCCATCTCCTTTGTATGATACCAATAAAACTGAAAACCTTGTAATAGTTTTAACAATCTTTATTTTGGTCCATATTTTAGTGATCGATTATTATGTGTTTGTGTGTATACATATAATTTTAACTTTATTTTCTGTGCAGTTTTACACAGAAAACACAATTGGTCCTATAGCAATACAATGTTTTCTTCTTTTAAGAACAGGAAATGCATTTGGTGTTATTTGCTTCTTAATCTAACTGTTGAATCTTAATGGATGTTTTACTTGCACTGATTCTATGGATAGGTTATTTACATGTGGCAAGGTTTATTACTAAGCACACAAGTATACAGTATGTGCATCTTCCTTTTCATTCCATCTGTTTGACTTACTTACACCCAGGTGGCCAGGTTGCCTTATTACACTATGTCCCAGAGTGACTGTTCTGTGGCACCTCCTTGCACTCAGACTAATTCAGTCATCCTTTCCATAGCAACATAGTGTTAACAGCACCCTGAAGGGTTTGGACCCTAGAAAAGCTTGTACCCTTGGCGCCTAGAAAAGCTTGTATCCTTGGCTTAATGGCTTGCTTTCAATTTAACACAAGCAGTCAAAAGGTGGTATTCCTAATGCATGTCAGCCATGGCATTATTCTTAGCAGCAGATTGCACGATACAACTAATACCTTGTGTATTGTATTTCTATATGTGTGCCACCGAAGTCTAGTCCTACTTTAATGATAAATATGATATTTTTTTTCTTTTTTCTTTCCATTTTCATACAGAGGAAAATTATTGAAATGAATGGGATTTTTATTTTGTTTAAAGACAGGTATCCTGCCCTATGTGCAAAATTACATTTGCTTCTGATATTAGCTATTAATATATAGTTGATATGTACAGTTCAATAAAGGCATATGTGTTCTGTTTTTAAACGTATGGGTATACTGTATTATATTAAATATTATATTTTATAATATAATATTATATTATATCTGAATATAAAAATATATAATATTATATTTTTATATCTGAAGTCCCAGAGGCTCAATGAGGCTCCCTTTTTCACTATAAGCCTGGAATTATAAAACCTGGGTGGCTGCAGAGCAGGAAAATGGAGTTACCATATACATAGACCACAAAAATGTGTGGTATAATATATTCACCAAGTTGTGCAGTCCTGCATAGGACTAGTAATAGGCACAGATCATCATAAACAAAAAAGTATGCTTTCATAAAGGCTGATAACAAATGCTATGCTTATGCAAACTCATAATGGTTTCAATAGAATTGTATTCTAATTGTGGGTAAAATTAGGCCCTTAATAGTCAGATAAATATCTAATTTCCAAATCTGATTCATTTAATTTCCTGCAATGGATTAAAACTGTAGTAGAATATAAGTCAAAAACTAATAAGGAGTTGATCCTTTTGTTGCAATCCATGAAAATATATGCTCTTCAATAAACTCTCAGTTAAAGTCAGAAAAGTGTCTTGTGAAATCCTGCAACAATATTAATAATGAAGCACTACTAACTTTTCTTAGGCAAAAGAATCTAGTGCCTCTTTTTGGAAGCTGTATAACTTTTCTTTTTCAACCTTTTCATCTGTGAGTGATACCAAGTATGAATGCTGAGCCTGATTTGTTCTCCTTTGTAGAGCCAGGCTGAGGCCCACTACAAAGGAAGTAAACATGCCAAGAAAGTCAAAGCACTAGAAGCAACGAAAACTAGACCAAAAGCAAGTGCTTCCAAGAACAGCGCAATGGCTAACTTGAACGGCTCTGCTACGCCGGCCCCGGCCAACATCTCTAACAAATCAGGTCAATGAAATTTTCATTCTATACATTCTTTGCTTCTCCTTCTTGATTTATGTGAGATTTTTGTCTAGATGCTCTCTGACTATTTCAGTGCCAATATTTGTAATAAAATTGTAGTAAAATTATAGTTAAAAAAACTAAATTTGTAGTAAAAAAAAAAGACTCTCCATTCTGAAATGGAAAGTGATTGTTAAAACTGGTAGGTTAGATTCCCTATGAAGCTTCATTTGCTCTTCCTGATTCCCCGTTGAATATATATTAAACTTTTAGTCAATGACCAGTGCCTGGCAAATACTGACAGCATATCTAATGGAGAGATGCAGATAGAGTGATTCAGCTATCTGTGTTAAAAGTTGCCTCCAATGGTAGTTCTTAAATGAATAAAGGAAGAGAGATTGTATATTATATTTTCCACTGGCCCTCAGTGTGATGCTATTTGCTTTTAAATGGCCCCAAGCGCATTCTCTTTGCTACCTATAAATATCAGTTATTTTATTATGTCATTGGTAGTTAATACATACTTATGTCTCATCTTGGACTAATTATTAAAAATGACACAGTTTAATTTACATAGGCAGAGGTGAATAGGATCTATTTTTTCCCAAAGCAGGAATTAATGCTTATGTAACCTGCAGTATATTACCTATCGCAATAATTCACATCATATCTTATTTGCACAGTCTTGATATAATATCAAAGTTCAAACCTGCTGTCTCCAATCTATAAATTTTGACCCTTAAAAAAGGCTGCTTACAAAACTGCAATGAGTAGGATATGTTTACCTTCAACTCTGTTCCTACTTTTAGGTTCTATTATTGTCAAAAACTAAAGGATCCTCCCTTCCTCCTAATTTGTTAGCGGAAGGAATGGGTATACAGTAATTGAGCTTCCCCACAGTTGGCAAGCAGGATGAAAGTTAAGAGGACTAGTAAAAAAAAAGGCTGTGTGGAAGCTACCAACAATCCTGAGCTCCAAATCCAGTAATCATGTGCCAGCAGTCTTAAACTCAGCTATATGTGTGCAGCTGAGAAATGTGCAAAAACTCTTAACTTTCACAGACAGATCCTTTTACTAGTTTAGTGTGCTAGCGGGGCTCTGGATAATGAATCAGGGGGCAGTAAAGTGTTTCTTGTATGAGCAAGATCCTGGGGTTCTCTGTGGAGGATTGAATCATTATAATAAATCTGCAACCTCTAAGTAATAATATTTAGTTTACTATTTCTTCTCTATTTTAAGAAGCCCATATTTCCTGTATTTCGCTTAATAATTAGTGGAATGCTCTTTCTGTATAATCCTGTAATCCATGGTAAAGTTCAAGCATCATCTGCAATATTACAATTCTTTATAAAGCTAACCATGAAAATATAATTAGCTCCACCCCGGGGGGGGGGGGGAGATGCAATGGTTTTAAATTTATTTTGAATGGTGGATATTACTGAACATATTCTTAACCTTTATCTTAGTAAATGTATAAATATAATCTAAAGGAATCATGAGGCACCTTAGAAATTGTGCTATAGATGTCAACAGGTATATCAGGATCAATAGCTGAATCACAAATAACCTGAAGTGGATTTTATCACCATAGGTTAAAAGGAGCAAAAAAAAATTTTTTTTTTAAACTGAAGCAGACTTATAATACATGTTGGAAGAAAACATTGATGCCTACTTTACAGGAATTGAAAATTTATGTCATAAATCAGGAATGAAGAAAATAAGTTTATAAAGCCTGAGATCCATAAAATGGGTGTGACCACAGTACTCATGTGGGTGTCATAGGCTTCTTCTAAACTTTTCTTTTAAAGAGATTTAGACCTTTCTTCTATTTATTTTTTAAATATGAATGGCCTATTTTAGGGTTTAAACTGCGGTGGAAAGATATTGAGTAGCCACTTTTCGATAATTGAACAATTGAAGTCTGCTAGTAGTCCACCACTTGTAAATGGTTGCTCTATAGATGTGTGTGTATGTGTGTGTGTGTGTGTGTGTGTGTGTATACATAAATAAACACATACACCTATAAAATATAAACTTAGCTTACAAGAAGAGTTAATAACTATTACAAATTATTTCAGGCCCAAAGTCATATACAAATTATGTAAGCTGAGAATAAGTAGATATATATAGTGAAGCATATATCCATTTAATCACATTTCCATCTAACATCCACTGAAAAATCTAGAGAAACAGTAGGAAATTCTCCTGGTGGGTAAAAGCTGCCAGGGTAATCTGACGTGAAGACACCCTTTCCCATTCTACAAAGAAAAACTGACCAGGTTGGCATGTGTACTACTGACCAGGGTATTTGTTCTTGTCTGAGAAGTAGAACTCAGTTTAGAGAACTCAGCCAAGTGTCTGCTTGCACTGGATCCTCATAGCCATTCTTTAGCGATAACTGCAGGAATTATCACATTTTTGGCCTACAGATAGAATTTGGTCCCATATATCTATCACTGCGATGTTACAAACACAAGTCAAATACATTTGCCTTTAGACAGAAAGATGATAGGAATCAAACTGGATTTTCACAGATGGGACTGGAATATTACAAATAATAAAGTGTAATTTGAAGAGAATTGTTAAGCAATAAAAACTGAATGAAAAAAGTCTGGAGGTAACATATACTGTATTATATTAATGATACAATTGAAATCATTTTGGGCATCTAAATTTTTTTTACTAGCAGTATATATTATCTCTTGTGTATAATAAAATTGTAGCTTTCCACCCTCTGGGCTTTATTTCTAAATAGGCAAATAAAGGATAATAATGAAAATAATGTGTCAGCAATAAAAAAAATATAAGTATAAATGAGGAGAGAGAGAAGGAATAATTTTAGTCTTTATCAGTGCTGGATGTAGAATAAAAAATAGAAATATCACATAAGTTGTACTGGAGAAATAAAAGAAGAACAGAGATAAAGAACAGAATAAAATAAAGAACAGAAATAGCTAAAGGAACATCAGAAAGCGTTTCAGTGAAATAATAAAACAGCTAAACAAAAAAGCCCATGAAATTTATCAAGTTACCAACTCTGAAAAAATAAAGGATACTATTAACTACCAAATTAATCCTCCCATTAATTTATTTCCAGGCTGCTATCCTTGTTAAGAAAAATACAAGATGCCCTACTGTCCTAATAGTAGCACCTGGTATGGTGGCTGATTTAATAGAATTACTGCTCTAATTTCCATATATATATATATATATTTTTTCACATCATTAGTTGCCAAAGATTTTGGTCATAAATAAGGAACTCAACATAAGGAGTGGGGAGGGGATATGGGAAGATTTGGGAAGCCTAGCACAGGATATATGTGAGTTGAGGGAGGCTAAGGGAGGGTGCTGCAATGGCCAAAACTTTGGAGGCCAAACACACATCTACAGTATTTTTTTTTAATGGTTACCAAATGAATGGATGTAAGGCAAGGAGTATTGTATCTATTCATAGAACATAATTTACTCCCCTTTCCCCTTCCCTTGAAATACAGATTACAAATAACAAGGCTCAAAAGAGATATAAATGTAAATGTTTTATATTTTAGTTTTACAACAATTCTGTAAAATAGATTAGCTGATAAATGGTGACAAATCCAGGGCTTCCCAATATTCTTTATAGTGTAGGGAAAATTAAACCAGATTTATTTTAGAATTATACCCTGTCAATGTGTCAGCTACTTTGTTTTATAAACTATACATGTTCTGATTTGTCCTATACCTTGTTTGTGAAGTTGAGCTCAAGAACCCTCCATTTGATTCCTTTACAAGGTAACTTGTAAAGGCATGATTAAAGTATGAAGGCAAAAGTCCATGCACATCTGAAGGGCAAAGTGTTTGATTAAAGTTTGTAGCAAACATGTTTATGAATTAATGAAATCTTTTTTTAGAAACCCAAAATTTGAAAAACTGTTGATACAAAGATAATGTATTATAAGTTCAACTACTGCTTTTTATCAGGTAAATGTTTAAATATAAACTCACAAGAGCAAAAAGAAATATTGGGCAGGAAAGGTTGATAGCAAGAAAATCTGCCTCACTAAAATAAAACAGCTTACAATTTGACCTCAATTTATACCTCTCCAAAGCATAAGTGGAGAGCCGGTTTGGTGCAGTCGTTAAAGTACCAGGGTAGAAATCAGGAGAGTGGGAGTTCTAGTCCCACTTGTGGCACGAAGCCAGAGGAGTGACATTGGACAGTCTCTCTCAACCCCAGGAAGAGGCAAGGACAAGCCACTTCCAAAAAACCTTGCCCCCAAAATTTCAGGGACTAATCAAGGCAGTCACCAAAAGTCAAGATTGACTTAAAGATTCAAAGAAAAGCACTAATGACTACTTGATGATGATAGTATATCAATCCCAATACGTGAAATTGTCCCTATGTGATAGAACTCATAGATTTTCCAAATCCTCTCAGCATCAAATAATTTGAATTAAACATGTGAGCCTCTCAGATTCAAACAAAATGAGTGCCTAACTATTCAGGCAGCATGAAGGTGAAATGTATTATTCACTTATTAAATATGAATGGGGGATTCTTTGATTATACATTCTAAATTGAAACAAATACTCTTCAAAATAAAGGGTCTGCAGATTTGAATCTCACATTTTTGTATTTTTCTTTGCGATACAGAGGATAAGAGAATGAGTGAATATATTTTAAATTACATAAAAGAGCTGCAGAGATGCATTTCAGAATACAAATGTAGAGTCTTTTGCTCCCTGTGAGCCACTCAGCATATGGTTTATTCCCTCTGGTGTCAACAGGAGCTTAGTTGTGAAATTCCAGCATGTATTCCTAATTTTTCATTTCCCAGGCTCTGTATATTTGGGGGACTGTTCCACAGTATTTATGGTTTCACAATTCTTAAATACTTCCTTTGATTCTACTCCTAGATCATGTTATTTTTTTAAGAAAATGTATTTATTATTTAGATATTTAGCATTCTTGCTTTTATAATTAATATTTAATAAGAGTTCCATCTTATTTTTTGCAAATAAATAAA